TATTTTTTGGTTGCAGCCGTCATTGTTGTTTAGCGGCCTGGGCTGGATTTGAACCCACCACCTTAGGTGTATGTGGCTGGTGCCTTAGCCACTTGAGCCACAGGCACCGACCCTGAAAATTTTCATCATGTAAAGTAATATATAAGTATTAATTTAAGAATGAACTAAATGGAATGAAAGTTATGAAATCTGTGAATCCTATGAAATATATTCCCTTATACTGTTGAACTTTTTAATTATAAAATCAATAATCTTTTTTTTTGCAGTTTTTGGCCAGGGCTGGGTTTGAACCTGCCACATCTGGCATATGGGGCCAGCACCCTACCCCTTTGAGCCACAGGCGCTGCCCAAATCTTTATTTTTTTATTTTTGGTTGGGGCTGGGTTTAAACCCACCACCTCTGGTGTGTGGGGGCGGTACCCTACTCTTTTGAGCCATAGGAGCCACCCAAATCAAGAATATTTTTAATGTCAGATTTTAAACCTTTGCCCTTTTATGAAAAATAAATGTATGGGGACCTATTTCAGACGAGATCGGGTGCTTTCAGGGTGGAATGGCTATAGACCTTTTTTACTTGGGGACCTATTTCAGTTAAACAGATGTGCCCTGATCACATAGGCGGCAGCTCCGCTTGCATACCTGTCAGCCTGCTGTGCTCACAGACACACGTCCACAACTCCAGTGGCCTTGGCTCTTTCCAGGCAGCTGCTGGTTTCTACCAGAGGGTTCTTAGAGAAGAGGCAATTTTCTTTGTGGGGCCTAAGAAATGTCAGGTGTACAGACCAGATGCTTCCTTTCTTTTTTAACTAGGTGTGTGCCTGTCAAGTACGAGCCACAGGAAAAATGTATGCCTGTAAAAAGCTGGAAAAAAAACGGATAAAGAAGAGGAAAGGTGAAGCTATGGCTCTAAATGAGAAGAGAATCCTAGAGAAGGTGCACAGCAGATTTGTGGTGAGTGCTTCCTTTGACTTCACCGTGCCTTCCTGGCTGGCAGCTGGGCCAGCAGGCTGGGCTGATGTGTCCCTCAGCTTAGTGTACTACTGCCTGGCAGCTCTGGCCACTAACAGGTGGGCAGTGCTGGGACTCCTCTTTATTCACATCTTAGAGGCATGAACCGCGTGGTCCTGTCTGCTGTCATCTGCTGTCATCATCTCCCAATCTGTTGGTTACTCTGGACACCCCGTGCAGCTCACAGAGCCTTGTTGTGTTCTGCTTCCTGGGGAGGTGCCCTCTCCTTTCCCTAGTGGTGGCTGAACTCATCTCTGTGTGCTGTCACCTTCAGCCAGCTACTCTGTGACCTGGACGTGTTTGAGGAAACTCTCTAGGCCTCTTCTCATAGGAGCAGCTTCTTCTTGGCCTCAGCCTGTTTTCCATCTTTTCTCTTTTTCCCAACACCTACAAAGTTTCCTGCCAGCCCCTCATATACAGCACTTCTTTGAAGCCTTGAACTAATTGCAGCACAGAGCAGGTGAGAGGGCACGAGGGGGCTGGGAGGAGCTGCGGGCCGCAGTGAGGTCTCATCTCCAGGCCTGTTCTGCCCACACCCAGGGCTTCCATGACAGCCGAGCAGCACGGGGCTGGCTGGTTGCCATGTTAGGGTCATTTCCTTAAAACCATTTCTTTCGGCTTGGCGCCTATAGCTCAACCGGCTAAGGCGCCAGCCACGTACACCTAAGGTGGCGGG